GTGATCCTAAGCTTTATCGGAAATAGCAGGAAACATTTTTCGGTCCATCACAATTGTTAAATCAGAGCACTGAATAAAACGATAGTGCCTGAGCTTCCCGACACTGGTTCAGGAAGTCGCATTGGGGAGTTTTAGGATAGGATCGCTCCGACACCTCCAATAAAGATACCCGACACTCCATCGACGCCTTTGTGCATGCATCGTATCGTTATTATCGGAGGTATCGAAACGATATATTAAAACGCTCTTTTCAAATCGTGCGCCGCTCTGCACAAAGCACCGAAATGGCGTCGTCCACAAGAAAACGGGGCAATGGATTGACGATACTCCAAATAGGTCGATTGCTTCTGTGCAGAGCTTTGCAGAATCTCTACGAAGTTCATTTTTATGTGCTGCTGTAATCCGGTAAGAGAACAGAGCTTTGACATGTCATCCGGTTTATCAGAGATGCTGCGTGCATTGCTGACGGTGGGCATGCGAAACGAAAACTCTGTCGTCCATTTCCTCTCGCAACTCCGCAAAGAAAGACTGCCGAGTTTCTTGCAACGGGAGCAGCGGGTTTGTTGAAATAACACGCGACGACAACTGTCGCCATCATCGCGCATATCTGTCCCCTCCTCTAAACACAATCACATCAGTAAATATTAAATGGTTCGCTGGTAGATTAAAAGCGACCAGCGCCCCACACTCGCGATTTCATTAGTTTTAGCACTGCCAGCGGAATATTTTCCGAAATTCTTTTCCGATGACTCCGATAACGATACTCTGCCGCCGCCTTTGTGCATGCAAGGTGTCGGGGGCTATCGAAACGATCTACGAAAACTCTCTAATAACGTTTTAGTTGTATTTCCTTTTGGTGTGCACCCACGTTCATTTGTACCTCGAGCTCACGCGTCGAATGCCCTATTACCTGTCGAAACGTCTCGAAAATCGAACTCTGATGCTCTATATTTGCCACTAGGTTGTTTTTAAACGGAACTCGCCATCGCAATTTACTTTCTTTTGCCGCCGTGCGTGGTGATGCTGGGGCGTGCTATCGGAAGACAATAAATGGCGGCTAACAACATAATTAGGGATGTCGCGAACCACCCTAGGTTCGATTTCGAAAGGTTTCGATATTTGCGAAGCGAACTAAGGTTCGATTTCGAAAAATTTCGATATTTTCGTACCGACCGAGGTTCGATTTCGAAAAATTCGCAACTTTTGTCCACAGCGGAGCTTCGAATTCGAAAATTTCGAAGCTTTCACGGTTTCTAAAATTTCGAATTCGAATATTTCAAATATTTTTTTACTTCAGGTTCGATAAATTCGAAGATTTCGAAATTCTTTGTAAAAAAAATTCGAAAACTTCGAACGCTTCGAATTTTTATAGACATGAAGTTCGAACAATTCGAAGATTTCGAATTTCTTTTGGCTTAAAGTTCGAAAGTTTCGATTCTCTTTTAACGCTACATTCAAAAAAAAAAAAAAAAAAAAAGTTTCGAAGATTTTGAATTTTTTTTTAATCCAAGTTTTCAAAGTTTGAAGTCCGATTTTCAAGTTTTTCTACAGTTTCAGTTTCAAATAACGTTTTCACGACTCACTTGTTTTCACAAAATCAAGTTTAGAAAAGTTAGGGTGTGATATCTAGATTCTGCGAAGTTGGTAAGACGACGAGTGTCCCGGACGTGCCACTGCAGAATTGTGACCGCCAGCCCCCCGGGGGGGAAGGGGGGGGGGGGGGGTCTTTATCACGCAGTAGTGATTGCACGAACACACTGTTTTACGAGACTCATCCAGGTCGAAACGGCCAGGGGCGAGCAGGAGGTTGAGGCTCAGAAAAACCTGAAGCCCCCCCCCCCCGGGGGGGGGGGGGCGGGGGGGGGGGGGGGGGGGGGGGCTTAGTCTCCTTCTCCTTTTTGCAGGTATTTCGGACTGTTAAAGAAAACAATACGGGGAAAGAGGGCGTGGTCGAGCTTATTTTAATCTGAAATTATTTATGCATATGTATAGCTACTGTCGCTCTTCACTGCATAAAAGGTTGCATAGATGGTCACTGTTAGAAACTCGTTGTCAGAAGGCACTGCTCGTCACATGCTTAGTGGTTCGGAAGTTCAAAGCTGTCTTTTCGACCTAAACACCTGTGCCGATAGTAACAAAAGAAAAAAAAAGAATAAATGCGGGAATAAAAAGCAGGAGAAAAAAAAAACTATCAAGAATTCGTCGGAAGTGTTCTATTCGTGCATATTCAGAGGTTCAGAACTTCGAAACAAGTTTCTTTTACCAAAATGTGTACAGGCTGAAAGAAACACGTCCCAGGAACGTGAAGCGAAAAAAAAAAAAGTTTTCTTTTAATGACGTGTTGAACTTGAACACTACTAGAGATCTTCTGCAATGAGTTAATTTATTCCTTAACGTGAAAAAACAATAAATATATTATTTTGTATTCTGCAGATGGCAATGATATGTACTGTCTGTGGTGCTAATTTAAATGCGATACCTCAAACAACTTAGACGAAAATAAATATCAAGTTTAGGTCATAATTGCATGCAGATACATGTTTGGACATTTCTTCGAAACTCACGTTGAATAACAATAATCACATCTTAAGACGGCACTTACCTAGGCTATACATAGATCATTCTTAAAAAAGTATAACATATCTACCATAAATAGCTCCGGCTGCAGCGTGCTTCAAATCTGGCACAAACGATAATCGTCAAAAACCCGTCGTCCGTCCTCGCCCCTTCGGGGATTTATTTCTTTAAACCTAAGCATGCCAGAACATTGAAATAAATGACATTGTCTTTCGTAAGGAACGCAGCACCGCGTGTAAAAGTTCGAGAAAAAAAATTACGAATGTACCCCACTCCTTGAAATCAAATGAAACCGGCCGCCGGTCTTTCGAAGTTCGACGAACGTCGAACTTTTACCCCAAAAGTTCGAAGTTCGTCGAACTTCTGACTTTTCAAAAATCGAAAGTTCGAAACTTTTCGAATTTTCTTGATAAATAAGTTCGAAAGTTCGAAATTTATCGAATTTTTTGGTCAGTCAAGTTCGAAAGTTCGACAAGCATCGAACCTTGCAGCGCAATAAATTCGAAAGTTCGAAAAAGATCGAATTTTTTAGCGTAATAAGTTCGACGGTTCGAAAAGCGTCGAACTTCTTAGCTTAACAAGTTCGAAAATTCGACCTCCGTCGAATTTTACGATATAGACAATTCGAAAAATCGAAATCTTTCGAACCTTTCGAACCGCTTGATTCAATCATCGAAACTTCGATTCGAAAAAAGTTCGCGGCATCCCTAAACATAATGGAGGAAAAGAGCGGATACGAGAGCTAGGATTGTACTTGCAAGGTGCTTTCTTCGCACGATAACTCGTAAAAGGAAAGCAGGTTGCGGAGCTTCGTGGTACGCCCAACTGGTACCTCATATAAATATTTAATTGGAAAAGAAAAAAAAAAAATAGACATGACACTCACGATGACTGTCCTTATCTGAAAACATGGCACATTGTTTTCCAGTTCCCCGCACATTCTCCCGCCAACATGACACGCGAAAATGCGCGGGTTCGTGAAGGAAACGACCAAGCTCACGGAAGGGAGTAAGCTTCAGGCATGTTTCTGGCCGATTATTTTCCCCGGTAAATTTAGCGAGGAAAATGACGTCACGTGACCTATGGACAAATTCAGTTTTTCCGCTAAATTTAGCGAAAAAATTGACGTCCCCGCTATATTATATTATTACTAGATGCCATAATTAAATATTAATTACTACAAAAAGAAGTTCTGCACTTTGTTGGAAACGTTCATTTCTTAGCCCACACAGCTCTATTTTCACGATATAAAATTATAAACATACATCGATTTTATGAGTACCTTTTGATTCGGTCATTTCGTTTTTCTTCCCCTGAATGTATTAGTTTTCTAAAACAAACACCAGGATTGCTCAAAAACATGCCTGCCATCAGCACCCGCTACTCCGAGGAATGGAAAGTGTCTCCGTTTTGTACGAACTACAGTTACCAGTCTATTAAAATCTACCTTCATTGCTAAACAAATATCATGCACATGACGTGCTCATTTATAATATAAACCTTAAATCATTGTACCTAATTTATGTATACAATTTTTATGTAAACCTGTGAAACCTAGCTCATTTATGTACGTATTCTACTTGTTGCCTGTTGCTCTGCAGTTATTTTTGTATCCCCGTACATGTCTGCCAGAGTGCACGGGGCCCGGACCTCGTCAAGTCCACATGCGTTGACTTTTTGTCTGTGGCTCCGGCGTCTATAACCTGTACAGATGCAAAAATAAAACTTATTATTATATTTAGTGGGGAAATCGACATCACATGACTTGATGTCATGTCACCTCAACACCAATTCAGTTTTCCTGCTAAATATAGCGGGGGAAATGACATCACATAAATTCATGTCCCCCCTTAGATTTAGCGAAAAAATTGAGCTCACATGATTTGAACACAAAGTCAGTTTCCCCGCTAAGTTAAGCGGAAAAAAATGACGCCACACGAGTTTCCCCGCTACATTTAGCAAGGAAAATGACATCACATGGCTTGATGTCACGTGACTTACACATAAATTCAGCTTACCCGCCAGCGGGAAAATTGACACGTGACCTGTCACGGCTTTTCCAATTATGTCCGCGGCTAATCGCTTAATTAGACAGCAACATAGTTGGTTCTGACCAAATGTTTTTGTCTCAAAATTATATAAACTAAATATTACAAAAAAAAAAAAAAAAAACGAAATAGCATGAGCATTACCATGCCATCAGAAACGCGTTTTTCGACTATGTCGAGAGGTACACATACATATAAGCACAATGATAATTTTGTGAAACAGCAGCAACAACTACTAGTACTACTACTGCTGCTGCTACTATACTTATACCCAGACAGCCCATGTCTAAGGGCCTCTTCTTGAACGAACAAATAAAAGGTTCCTCCAGCGACACTGTCCATTACCTGACCTGCACCTCTCTTTCCTGTTTCCAGCATGCCAGCCAGTGTCCCCTGGAGCCTGTGTACTGCGAGAACAAGTGCGGGGCCAAGGTGTCCCGCAGGCTCCTGCAGGAGCACCGCGCCAATGACTGCGCCAAGCGGCTTGTGCCCTGCCCTTACTGCCGCAAGGAGTTTGTCTTCGATACGCTTAAGGTGTGGATGCATGCTGACCATAGCCTTCTGACCTAAATTGCTGAATAACATTGGTTAAAGTGGGCTGGAAGTGCTTGGAAGTGCAGTTCTGATACAGTTAACATTACTGACAATGTATTGTCTGAGCTAAATTAAAATAATTTGTCTTGCTTGTGTACTTTATTACAAAATACACAATAGGAATAAAGTGCTTGACCATGGTTTCCTGAAGGGATGGCAACTGATACCTTTTAGAGCGCAGCTCTTAGGTGCCCATTTCTGGGCTTGAGCGGCGACGGCAATGGCGACGCCGTAACCGCGCGTTGTATTATGGGACGTTTCCCATAATAATGTCACATGTGACGTCAGGTGTGAAGTCACGAGTGATGTCACGAAGGTCACTTGTGAAGGTCACAACGAAGGTCATGACCTTTACAGTGAAGGTCACAACGAAGTCACCTTTACAGTGAAGGTCACGACATTCACGAGCGACATCACGGGGGAGGGGGAGGAGAATGGAGGAGGGAGAGAGGGAGGGTCATACCTTCTCCTCCTCCTCCTCCTCAGGAGCTGCGCTCTAATTCGGCATTCAAGGGAATTGTTTCATATTTTCAATGTCCTTCTCTCCCAAACGGGTATCAAGCCTCAAGCTCTTGAAAGGTGAAGGAGGTGGGGAAATGCGACAGAAGGAAGTGAGCAAAAGCAGCAAAAAAGTCAAAAAGTGAAGTGTCACAAATAAATTAAGCATCTCCATAATACTGAAAATGAAAGTATTGCCGTAAAGTTTATGGAGAAAGTGTCTGTATATATTAACAGATTATTTTTACAGTGCAAGATGAAGTGTATAGACCATTGTGAAGTCCAGCAGCTGTGTGTTCAAGGCATTGCCGATTCTTTTGCTGCACAAAAACCATACTATTACCAGAATACCGTTACTTTTACATCACCTTGTATGCCATTCCGTGCATTCCGCCTTCCAGAATGACATAGTGTCCATAGAAACTGGGACAGGTAGCGTAAAATATTCTTAATTAAAAACAGACATAGCCTTGACTTTCTAATGATGTTTTGATAATTTCTCAATAATAGGCACACAACCATCTAAATTCACACCAAGTGTTTTAGTTGAAAACAACACTTCCACATTTGGTTCTTCTGTCGTAAAATATGTTTTGGTTGGTTTTATGAACTTTCAAATTTCCTTCACAGAAAAGCATAGCTTTGACTACATGTAGTACAACTGGATTAATTATCTTTGCTTTTGTAAGCTCTCCTGAGTAGTCACTCCTTTCTTCCTATTCTGCAGTCATCCATTGTTTTCTCAATTTAAGTGCAAAGTAGTATATCATCTCCAATCACAGAACAGCATCCTCAAGTGTCACTTTCATTTTTGGTTCTCTAATGTTGTAGACTATATGTTTTGGTTTTGTGAACTCCCAGAATAGACCCTTTCCGGAATTCAGTCTGGCCACTTTGATCATTATCATCATCATCTGAAAATGGCATATGTGCTATACACTCCGTGCGGGAACTATAGGGGGCGCTTTGAAAAACGCGCGTAGCGCCGCTAGCGGAGGAACTGGCGTTCGACAGCGAGGCGCGCTCAGCAGCCTGCGGCGCCTTTTCGCGTGCGAAGCTGTGGTGGCGGAAGCGCGCATGGGCGGAACTTTTGCTTTTTAAGCCGATAAGTTGAGCATGACGTTGCATGAGTGCTGGGGCAGATTTAAGAAGGGCATTTAGCTGTTCTCCGCTTCTTATATATTAAGTTTGAATCGTCAGTAGGGATAATTTCTCTAGTTGCGGTTGAAAAAGGGGTTTGGGCAATTTTCCGAAAAGCAAGATGGCCGCCACCATAATTGCTCTCAGTGGGAAATTTGTTTCGCTCGTCGCTGTAAAGTTGGTGGGTAGATGATATTTGGAGGCGAGTGAGATGTTCACTAAATTCGTGCACTAAATGGGCCAAGTTTTATTAAGACAGCAAGTGTGAAAGTTATGGTTCGAACGAATAAAGTAATAAAGCTGTCAGGAATATCCCATAATGGACCCAAAATGTTGTGTTATAACCGGGCTGTGCGAATTGCAGATTTAGACACGCAGGTTTTTGGACATGACCGTAACTTGACACAACAGTTATAATAGCAAAAATAGGTGGCATAGGAAAACCAGGTGGAAATTTAGTTTGGGCGGCGTAACTGAATGGGAAACGGTTTTGACTGTGAAAAGGCTGTCAAGAGAATACCACTTGCCGTGGGAGATGGAGACTTTACAGGTAGGAAGGGACTAGTGCACTGTACTTCCACTTGAAACAACTTTACGGAAGGTGGCTTCCAAACCGAGAAAACTAAGTTGCCGGCCAACACACGGTTTGGCTGTCAAAGGCTTTTGCGGTGAGCTGTTATGTAGTAATCTGGTTGTGCGAGGTGCTGATTTTCGGCACACAGGTACTTCGACAACGTAACTTGACAAAACACTTATTATACCTAAAAGAGATGCCATAGTTTAACCAGGTGGAAATATTTTTGGCCGGCGTAACTAAATGGGAACCGTTTTTGACCGTCAAATGCTGCCAAGAGAATACCACTCATCATGGCCGGAAGGTGCACACTTTACAGGTAGGAAGGGACCAGTGAACGGTACTTCCAGTTTGAACAACTTTGCTATAGGTGGCTCTAAAGCCGAGAAAAAAAGATTGTTGTCTTCAAGACTCGGGGTGTCAGCGTTTCCACATCCAAAAGGAGGCTGATCAAAAAAGAAAGCACACCACATAAACTTTCAGTGTCTAACATCGATTGTCCAGAGAGTCCAAGTTTCGTTGTAGTTTTCCTTAGATTCATATTTGTCACTTTTTGTACCATTCGAATCTTTCTTCATGAAGTACAGACTGCGTGCCATACTGGTCCGGAAATATCATCGACACGTACGATGGGGACGGAACTTCTTTCGAGGGCATTCCTTCAACGAAATTCGCACCTCATACCCACGAGTGTGGAATGGCATTTCAGTTCGAGCTGAGATATGTTGGAGTTACTGGTAAGAAGACAAACGCAGAGCGCAAAGCGGCCATGTAGAATATGTCAGCAGTGCCGACATAGTGGTAGACATGATCGGGAGACCAAATTTCTCGCGTCGTACGGCATGGGTCCATCGCGGTCGCTGTCCCACAAAACGTCGTCGAGGTGAAAAACTGTGAAACTTCGTCCCCACGAGATACGACGCATAACTATTGGAGCACTTAACGACACAGCAGTTCATGCTGTCAACCCAGCGCAACCGCAACGCTCCGACTTCAATGCGTACCAACGTACGCGGCGCGGTTTCGTTTCGGTGGGCTCTCACTGCCTACCTTCGGTAACGGCCGCGCGGCGGCGCGCCGGTCGCGTCGCACGGAGTGTATACTAATGGCGGCCTTCTGTTTACTGATGAAGGAAGAAGTTGAAGATAATCCTAAGCAGATGATTCGAGGCCTATACATGCTAGATGTTAGCGCGGCGTGAAGCAGGAATTGGACGCAAGAGCTGCGTAAGCGTTCATTTCTAACTCGGTCCCAGTCAATCTGTTAGTAGCACTCACTCGGCTTCAAAGCCCCTTGATGTATAGAACTCTATCAAGGCGTCTATGTGGGTTGGCGCTTCGTTCCAACTGGCTGGATTTGTTTCGCCATCGACACTAAAAGAGATTGAAAAATAATTGTAGTGAAGTACACTTTCTCGTTTACCGTTGACCTTCAAGTGACGGTGCCCCATAAAATACTGCAGACCACAGGTTCATTGCCGCCATTAGTATAGTAAAAGATAAACTGCCATTTGAGTCACCAGATGGCACTGAATTCCGGAAAGGGTCTATTGCTCAACAAAGAAGTGGTATTTTGACTGCATCTAACACAACTGGCTTATTGCTGTCTTTGCTTGAGTCGGCGCTCCTGAACTGCTGCTTCTTCCGATTCTGCAGCCGTCCGTTGTTTTCTCATTGCAAAGTGGCTCTCTGCTCACAGAATCACATCCCCAAGTGTCCTCGCTACCTGGTCCAGTGCCACCAGTGCGAGACTGCCAAGATCCCCAGGGAGGATCTGGAGCACCACCTCAAGGACCACTGTCCGGCAGCCGCCGTGGGATGCGTCTTCAAGGACCTTGGCTGCAAGTTCAAGGTCAGGGGAACGCCCCTCCTTCTGACCGCCGACCAATCCTGGGTTAGCTGCGAGTGCATCCTCAACATGGCCGTTCGCGGCACCAGAGCAAGCATGTCTGTCTCTGAAGGGGCATGCGGACACTTAAAAATTGGGAAGCACTTATAGATCACTTATCAGCTACAAACTTCTGGTACATACATAAATTTGGCCTCAAAAACAATAGTTAAAAATATGTAGCTCTGAATACAAAGGCTGACAAAGAATGGCCTGATTGCCAGATGCAGAGCCTGCAAAACGCACAAGGGATCAAGAGATGCAAGTGAAGAACAGGGTCAGTGTATGACACTATTAATGTGCCACTTTTAGTACTGAAACAGAGTAATCTACATAAAATTTAGTAGAAGACCCACTAAATCTTCCAAATTAGAAATGACTGGTCAAAGATTTACTTTTAGTGTATTTATAAACAAGCTAAGGGACATTAAGGTGGTTGACAGTAGACATTTTTTGTTTACTTTCGTACCCAGTCAAGTGGGTTCCATATCTGGTATGTGAGACGAAAAAATAATAAAACATTTCAACCCGGAATATGCGAAAAAACATAGATGAGGCAAAACAAAAATGTTTGACAATCGCGCTGCTTTCGTTGAACACCTTCCAGCGGCATGGTGGTATCAAATCGATGTTCTAACACGTACCAGAGGTGCTGACCTTCAAGATGGTTGCGCCCTCGTGGAAAAGAAAAAGAAAAGCACCTAGCTAAATCATTCCCTCTCTCTCTCTAACCTGCAGGGCTCCCAGTTTGCCTTAGACCAACACCTTGACGAGAGCAGCAAGAACCACCTGAGCCTCCTGTGCGGCCTGGTCTCCAGGCAGCAGCAGCAGATCTCTGCCCTGCGCAGCGCCCTCCACGGCCTTGCGGCCAACACCACAGGCACCCTGCTGTGGAAGATCTCGGACTACAGCAACAAGATGGCCGACGCCAAGGCCCAGGACGGGGGCCTCGAGATCTGCAGCCCGCCCTTCAGCACCAGCCCTTACGGCTACCGCCTCATGGCCACCCTCTTCCTCAACGGAAACGGGTCGGGGGAGTCCAGTCACCTCTCCGTCTACATCAAGCTCCTGCCCGGAGAGTATGACTCGCTGCTGCCGTGGCCCTTCTCGCACACAGTGTCCTTCACGCTACTCGACCAGCCGTCCGTCCCGGAGAAGGCGTGCAACATCGTGGAGAGCTTTGTGCCCGACCCGACCTGGAAGAACTTCCAGCGGCCCAGCCGCGAGCCCGACACCCTCGGGTTCGGCTTCCCGCGGTTCGTGTCGCACGAGATGCTCAAGAAGTGCCACTACGTGCGGGACAACACGCTCTTCATCAAGGTCACCGTGGACGAGAGCAAGATCATTGCAGTCTGAAGTTACGTGAACCGTTCGCTGCAGGTGTGAAGGGCGGTCTGCTGTTTCGCGGGTCGCTTGGCGAATGTGGATGTGCCGGCGATCGGGCGGTGGGGCTTGTCCACACCCATTGTAGGGTGTTACCATTTGCAAGCTTACTTGTCTCGGTTACGCCGTTTTAGGAACTCCGGGGATGGTGCCCATTGCAAGCTTCACTTCTGAACCTGTTGCACAAGGGATGTGCTGGCACTGAAGCCCCACAAACGTTTTTCACAGAGCGACCGCGAAAAGAACAGCTTACTTTGTAGGTAGAGCAGTTTAAAGCGTGAAGACGACAGTACAAGTATCTTATGAGAACAGTGGAAGGAGTCCAACATGGTAATACATGTTGCAAAGTGTCATTTAAGATTTCTTGAATAACTTGTGTTGGTGTACCTTGTAGGCTGGTCTTGTTACGCATTTTAGAGCAGATCCAGAGGCAATATTTTGGCTGCGGTAGACCGGATCGTTGGCAACCAATGACACTGGTGAGATATAATTAGAGGTGTTCCGGGACTGTAGCCGGACAATATTAACACAAATAGAAGAACCTCTCAGGAATAATGCACTCGCACCGAAAAAAATGTTTTTAATTAATGACTGAATTCTGGATAATGCTCTTCGAGAGTGACTCTGGGTTTATCAGGGAATTTATGAAGATCCCAGTTTCACATTCTGGATTCAAAGGATCCAGCAGGGCTTGAGACTCCATGCCCAAAACAGCAATGTCCACTCAGTACAACTTTTTAATGTTGTACAAAATGTTTAGATCATCGGAAGTGCTTAGAGAAAGAGACTGCTCTGCACTTCTGTTACTCTGTCAGCATTGTATTCAGATCATTAAGCATTAGTTAATCGCAGCAGGTGTGTACATGTTTTAGTCATGTTGAGTCAGTGTTTTGCCCACATTCGTTTCATATGCCATTGAGTTTCATCTGGCTGAGGGCAACAGCTTGCAGAGTCTCCTAATTTTATAAAATATCAAACTTTCATTCAAAGTAACCTGATCATTAATACAAGTTGTCAGTTCGCAAGCCCTAAGCTCATTGCAACATTTCTGAAACAGATGTCTGGCTCACAATCACAGCACTCTCTCGGCATTAATCAAATTTTGCACTTTATTGTACAAGATGCAAATGATATATCAAACATAAAATACATAAAGCTGTGCTTCTTCCTCTGTCTTTTGAGCATAACATACTCTCACGATGCCAAAGTGCCCATAACACTTCTATTTATATTTTAAGTCATAGAGAGCGCTCCCACTGAGATTGCTTTACCTCCTTTACTTTTCATTACGAGAGGATGATATATCTTCTAATATAATGCTTTAATGCTTTTATGCATTGTAAATAGTATTCGTCACCAATTCCCTGATGACATCCATCATTTTGCTGCTACTAGTCACAAGTCATAAACGTGGAGTCTTCCTTTTACCTACGATACTAGTACGTACAGTGTGTTTTGACGTGTACGCTCATTTCAGCCACAATAAAGGTGCTGCATTTTCAATCTTACCTCTGTTTCACTAACACAAAAGCTTTCCTTGATGCTACACTTTATTACCCATAAACATTTCTTGGTGGCTCTGTGTGGCCGATTCTCAACAACAAACATACACATACTAGCAGTCCTGCTGTGCTGGTATGGCAAAAAAACACTTCCGAGTGGGAGGCTGCTAAATACCAGTATTTCCCACTATACAATGCATAAAACAACAATTGAACAAGCACAATCCAGGCACTGCATTTCTGCTAAGGATGATACTAAAATGTTTTTTTTTTTTATAGCACTCTATCGCTTGATGCAAACCATTCAAAAATCAGTGCCATCAATATGTTATACTACAAGTATATTCATTTATTTATTTATTTCCTCTAACCTTTGAGATCTGTATCAGCAAGGGCATTACAGAAGGTACAACACTCATAAGAGAAAGTGGTTAAACAAAACAAAAACAAAATATAAGTAAAGTTATTCCCTTAAGATGCTAAAAGAAAAAAAGTAAAATAATAAACTGCCCACGAAGATCACGGTACCATTTCATCTCACTCATAGTAACCCTATCACACTTCTTTCCCTCTTCCCGTTTGCTCGGTTGTACTCGACACAAAGCAGCCAGTATTCCTATCTTACACCCACCGACATCACAGTCAAGCAGTATGGATCCACGTGCCATCGCAGCAAGTTTACAGCTTCAAAACCCTTGCACATACTCGGTAAGACCCCGTTTCTCATCTCATACAGCCACAAGTTCTCAGCTCCTATAGGACAACAATGTGTTCGAACCCTTTCTTGCTACACCCAGGGATGAGACCCGCGCTCAAACGATGCCGTACTCCTTGAGCAGGTTGTTGGCGATGACCAAGCGCTGCACTTCGCTGGTGCCCTCGTAGATCTCGGTGATCCGCGCGTCTCGGTAGTGGCGCTCCGCGGGCATGTCCGTCACGTACCCCATGCCCCCCAGTATCTGAATGGCCTGGGAAAGCATGTCGTACAAGGCGTCAGGGGGGTGCCCCTGCTGATGGCAGTGCGCTGGGGCTACCAGTGCAGCGATTTCGTGCCAAACATAGATCATTGGGTATCAGCCTCGAAGGATAGGTTGACAGACATTTACACACTAATTGGACCTCACCTACGTGGAAACATAGTAAAAGCCATACAAGTAGTAGTAGTTTTAAAGGGAAGCTCGAAGCGCTTTAAAAAAAGACACAAGTTAAGAGCCTTCTGCTTCCCCATTTAGGTTATCGTGCCGAGATTGAATAGGATTTAGTGCAAAACGCTTTTAAACCAGGTGGCAATTGCCAAAGGGCATGTGGCAAACCTCTCTGCACCTGTTATGTGTCAGAGCTTCGCGACGTCCCAGTTAAAATTTCCGAGTCGGCTGAAAGTCAAGCAAAGGCCATCCGACACTAGGGGCGGATTCGTGGGTCCTGCTTGGGAGGGAGGGCAAAGGGTATTTGGCTGGGGGGCTCTGCAGAAAGATCCGACGTCGTGGACGGATGTGATGACACGGGCAATGCGTTGCCAAGACCCATTTAATTCATCTAATGTTTGCCATTTCACCAAAAAAAAAAAACCTTTCCTCCTGAAAAAAAAGAAAAAAATGCCAGTGTTTGTCATATATTTTATTTAAACAAGTTGCTCCCAGGGGCTCAGGGAAGGACAATCGCACCGTAGCACCTGCCCTTAAAGGGACACCGACATGGTATTTATGGTCGCCGAGGTTTTTAGTCGTACGTGACATATGATAGAGAGCCCAACTACCCAGAACAGAATTTGCGGCTCGAAATTCGGTTTCTTTCCGCCCGAAAACCGGTGATCGAGAACTGGCCAGTTCGAGTCGCGCTCACTCTCTTTTTTGTGGCCACGGGCCGTTTTCTAAGGTTTCGATGCGACCACCAAATTTATTCAAAGTCGTGGGTCATTGAAGGCACACATTCAATATTAAAGATATAAAAAAAAATATGAAAACCACTTTTTGCGGCTTCCAAAAAGCTGCAAATACGTTGATTGAAAAAAAAAAGGTAGCGGAAGCACTCTGCACGTTCACCGCATAATTCTCAACATGGCGTCGTTTCGCGTATCGTGGGACTAGCGGATGGCAGCGGACGACGAGCGTATTCATCCCATACGACATGCCCGACCAGCAAGCCGATTGCACGAAGACGTCGCCGAGCCTTCGTCCCTTCTCGTGGCTGAAGACATTGCTCGCTCAAGCGTCAAGCACGAAGTGCGTGCTTCGAGTTGAATACGCACGCGTACGGTTTCTTTTTGAGGTGCGAATGTGGCTTATGCATGGTGCTGCCCGACTTCAAGCCGGGAGTGCATGTACTGAAGGGAAACCGGCAGCAAACTTCCGACACGCAGTCTACCGGCTGCATTACTATGCATGAAAGAGTTCCTACAGTAGCTTAGTGGAAAGACGTCCGCTTCACACGCAGCGGGCACGGGTTCAATCTCTGGTGTGGGTGTACCATTTTTTTTTGTCATGCATTTTGCGATGTTTACATTTCTTTTTTTTACAATTATCACTGAAAAAAACAATTGTTGCGGACAGTACGTCGCTGAACTAAATAGTATGGGATTCCAATTTTGACACCTGCGAACTCAATGTAGTCACTTCCCCCAAAATGCATGGAGCATGTGAATCGGGTTAGCATCCGCTTTCCGAACTTCGCGTAACTGTTCTACAGGAATGGCAGCCAGCCATTGATCCCGACCCTTTGATCTTTCGAAAACTTGTGCACTCTGCTGCACAGTGCCACTTTCAGATGCAGGTAGGGTGACCACCTGTCCCGCGACTCGCGGGACTGTCCCGCATTGAGGGCTCGTGTCCCGCGTCCCGCGAGAAATTCCCAAATCTTCAAAATGTTCCGCATTTCACACTGTCATAAAATTCACTCCGCATTTCATGGTGCTGCCACAACAACGCGGCAAAAGGAATCGCGGAGGTCGCTGGTAATCGTGTGAATCGAAATGGTACGTCATTTTCTACCCAAGCATTGCGGGAAGCGACTGTCGTTCTTGTAGGAGCACGATGTGCATGCGCCGTTGCGCCTCTCCACTTGATGGCAAAATACTGTTTTGTAAGAAAAATTGCCCGCGTTTATATATAAAATATCGTAATTATTTTCAAATCGCTGTGTCAATGCGAAAGGGTTGCTGTGGATTTTTTGTTACCGAAGCAGCCACACTTCCAACAGTCGAAAAAAAACATAATCTTTGTTAAAAATTTGTGTAGGACCATGTTGATAAAAGTAAGCGTTGACAAGAAACAATAACCCGAAAAATATTTACTGTTTCTTATTTCCATTTGATGCATTGAGTTCTGATACAGCCGATTTTTATGTTTTCAACTTCGACACATTTAACAATATATTTGACATAAAAAATATATCACTGGAAGTGATATTTATTTGAGCTTCAAGTGGATAAACAACACCGGACAATATGTGTGTTAACAGAGCCTCGGGTCGTTGTAGGCATGTTAATAAATTGGCAGAAGTTATTCCTGTGTACAAGGGAGGTGGAGAAACAATAATCCATAACTACAGAAAAATTTCCATTGTTCTCATCGTTTCTAAAATTTATGAATGCGTAATCAATGACAGGTTAACTAGCTCTTTTCAGAGGCATAATTACTAACAGGCAATACGGTTTTCAGAAGCATAAATCCATGGAGCAAGCACATTAGGAAATTAAAGACAAAATTGTAGAAAACATAAAAAGTAAATTGCTCACGCTCAGCTTGATTCTAGATTTAAAAAAGGCGTTCAACATTGTTCAACACGACATCTTACTGAAAAAATACTAGAGAAATATGGCATAAGAGGTAGTACTAAAACTAACTGAAAATTATTTAATAAATCGTTTCCAGTAAATTTCCATTAACCACATAACATGTAATACTATGAAAATCCAGCACGGTGTCCCTCAGGGCTCTATCTCAGTTTCTTTACTATTCCTAGTTTATGTGAATGATATTATGATGATATCAGTTTCCCCCTAGCTGATAATGTATGCGCATGATACAAATGTCTTTTTTACTGGAGTTACCAAAGAGTTCCTAGAAATTGCTGCAAATGCCTACCTCCTTAAGCTATCAAATTGGTTATGAATAAATTGATTGAAACTAAATGCATGTAAAACTAAAAGTATAATTTTCAAGCCAGCCAGTAAGCGAGACAATAGCCCTATTAACATCAAATTTGAAGAAACAATACTCGAGCAAGTGGCTGAACAAAAGTTTCTAGGCGTCTGGTCTAGTGAAGAACTCTCGTGGTCTACGCATGTCAATAAATCTAAAATCAGAGCTTTCTCAAATCAGTGGTATAATAATATAAAACTTAATATCCATTTAATTAAAAATGATGTTATAATATTGCTTGTTTTATTCTTAGATCGGTAATGGAATACTAGTGTGGGGAACTAAAATTACATAAAAAATAACAAACTAATTATTATAAAGAAAAAAAGTTACCGTAAAAGTATTGGGCAAGCGCCCACTCAAAATTTAGAGATAATCGCGAAACAAAGGGGGATGGGCGCTTGTCCGGTCATCAATTTCGCATATGAATGTACTGTGCATATTTTCTCAGATCTTAGAAATTTGGATATGGGCGGATGCGCAGTATTCTACGGTATTCATATCTGCAAAAATTATAAAGGCGATATAAAAAAAACTTAGCACCACACCACTCTTCGTTCAAAATAATATGTTAAAGGGAAACCAAATAGATCACTTCAAATTAATCCAATGGATACACCGAAACAAGCTTTACTAGATTCCCGCACCGAGTTCCTCTCTACATGCCTTGCATAGGAACCATGTGCCTTACCTGATGCGAAACGTAGGTGGCTGCTTCTGAAGCCGCAAGTTTGGCCATGGCAGCTTCCTGAGGGGAGTACACAACAAATTCATTAGCTGCTGCAAAACTAGATCCTGCGCTATGTTTCATTACCAAAGACCCATCTGTAAAAAAACAAACAATAACCTTACTTGAGTCAAAACGAAAGAACACTTACATACAGGTATGGGGAACATCACAACCGACTTTCCTAAGGTGGCAGAAGAGACAGCTATACTGCACTTGGATGTCCATGACAAACTAGAGTCAGTGGTCATCGCCATTTGTTTTTTTGCTGGTTTGTAGCCTATTATGTACTTTCAGGTTTTATATATTTAATTATTTATCTAGAAGGGCGACAATGCAGTTAGTGTTTGTATGCTGCCATCTTTCAAAAAGTTGTAGCAATGCAATTTTCTCTAACTATTCCCAGCCTCAATACAAGGTGTTTGAGGGTGCATCCCTCCAGGAAAGCTTTAAAACACGATTTGACAAGCTGTTAATACTCTGACCGTATTTGGTTTCCAAACAAATATTTGATAGCAGCAGCTCCTGGTAGATTTCCCAAGTGGATGCTAGAATGATCTCTCAGTTCCTGCTGTCAACTAACCGCAGCTGAGAAAAAGACAAGAGACCTTTGTAAACTTCAGCCCGGCGTCCTTCAACATGGCAGCCCTCCACGTCAGCAGACGAGCACTTTGTAGCCTCACTTCCATGTCTGCCAATTTCATCTGGAAGGAATGTGTAACATTACAGAAGGTAGCCTCCCGACATCAAAAAGGCACCAGAAGTCGACCAGACGGTGCAGACAGTTAATTCGACATGCAAACAAAGAGCACTCCATCTGTGCATGCGATGGCCCTCGGAACATGGCCCCACATTTAAAAAAAGCCCCATCAATTACCGTATTTTTGCGATTCTAAGCACCCCCCCCCCCCCCCCCCCCCCCATTTCAAACATAAACGCCTGAAAAAAAGTTTGCATGCGAAAGTAAGCACCCCCTCCCAACAAGAAATTTGTGATCGGAGACACCGGCATCGCCAAGCGCCGGATGAAGCTGCGTCGCGATTCTCGCTACGCACTCGGGCTGATCGGCAATGCCGATGAGACCCCTGTGTACATAGACATGCCAAGGACGTGCACCGTGAACCCAGTAGGCGCCCGAGCAGTGCGTACGACTGGCTATGAGAAGCAAAGGGTGACCGTAATGCTGTGCATCACAGCTGACGGTCGGAAACTTCCACCCTACATCATCCTCAAAACACTAGTCGCGAAAGCAACTAGTCAACGGTGGTGCAAACTGAAGGCAAGCGGGCTACTCTCGAGTCTTTATTTATTTCCCTTAGAAAATTTATTCTTTCATTTTGATTATATTAAATTCATATTTCTTGTGCAAATTTCGTATTTTCGGGGCATATTCCGAATCTAAGCACCCCCCCCTTTGAACATCGCGGGTGTGAAAAAAAGGGAGTGTTTAGAATCGAGTAAATACGGTACTGGGAGACAGAAATGCTTGGCCTCAAACTGAAACACAGTGTATGCTCATGTAAGATGTGGCAGGTTCTAGATTAGATGCTCGGGGTTGCAAGACCTGGCTTTAGCCTTTGAACAGATAAATCTCTAAAAGGCCTTTTTGAAGGCATTTATGCATGTCTAGATTTTTGCGGACACAACCTATAAGGACCCAATAACCAAGAAAAATATTTGCGACTCGAAATCCTGCTTTTTTTTGCCGCAAGGAAATAGCCGGTTGAGAACCAGCTGCTCAAGGCTTCCCTCACTTTCTCGTCCCGAATCCCGTGACATAATGACAGAGAACATGAAATATCCGGGAAGTCTTAAACCATCTGTGGCACATATCCACATCAACAAAATAAAAAATAAAATCCATAAAACATAACCTAAACCCAAACATATTCAACAGAAGTCTGTTCGGCTGGGTTAAACCTCCTCACATTAAACATTAAATGTAATTGTTTTCAACAGTCTGGTTGGGACACCCAAATCAAGAAAAATATAATTTTTTTAGAAAACAAATTACTTTTTAGGGCAATATTGACGGCGAGAGATTTAACTGAAATTCAGCGTGCAAAGTCCATGACGTCACGGGCCATTCCGGAATGACCATCTCCGTCATTCGCTCTTTCCACCTCAACGTGAAGGCGAAATCGATCCCCCTCTCCTCCATGCACCTGAAATGCTGAGAGAGAAAACAGGTGGAAAGGAAGTAACTGCTGACTGAATCGCATCTCGCGCTGTCAATGTTGCTTTAAAAAAAAATTAATTTTTTGACATGTCCCAACCAGACTGTTAAGAAAAAACTTTTTCTTTTTTTCTTTTCAGCTTTTTTTTTAAGGACTTGGTAGGTAGCTACTTTCATTTATCATAAAAGATGACTCTTTTAGAGAAATGTCGAACACATAGTTGCAGGAAGTGAGATAGCCACAGTGGCTCCCGAAGTCTCAGATGTGACAATCCTTCACAATGGTGCCTTAGGTCCAGTTTGATTTTGCATGCTTTACTCAGCAAATATATGCAACTGCAGAAAAAAGCTTTGGATGGTGTCTTGATGAGCTCTTCGTGAAAAGCTGTATTATCCTTTTAGGGTAATAGCGTCTGTTTAAACGCAGCAATTCAGCTGAAGTCTGCACATTTCCCCGTGACGTGTGCCAAGGTGACACAAAAAAGCGAGGACCAAGCAGAAGCATGTCTGATCAGCTGTTCTAAACCCTCCCACTTCGGAACGTAATGCAACTTAGTCATTGGACTTATTTAAGCACATTTTGCTTAGGGTCAAAGGCACACTGAAGATGCTTTCTATTTTGATGGCTCTAACTTGATTTGCTTGCTCCGACGATTAGAAACCTACAAGTGTGACCTGCTCCTATATATAAAATTGCACTAAAAGTAAGACATTCAACAATGACACAATCCAAACTACCACACTTCGTAGTACAGGCTGAGGAGAAAAATAAAACTCCCCAATCGTTTAGCACGTTGAGTCCACTGTGATGCCTGCTGAGGATCGATACAATTACTATATAAGCTATGATCATTTCAATATGTTTACTTTGGAGCACAGTCTCTTTTCAGCAGCAAACACACTGTTTGTACTCATAGCTCTGCCAATTTCATTGACAACCTCTTAGGATGGCCATTTGTCGAGACGTGAGGGAAGTCATAAATGCATACAACCTTGCGCTAACGAACTAAATAGTGCAACGATTTGATTCCGAAGTCAACGAAGCCAGCGATAGTGTGTGAATAACCCACCGAAAGAGAGCGCAAGGTACCCACAAACGCCTACTTAGAGGTCCACTGAACTTCCAAGGCACACCTTGAGTGACGAGCGATATCTCAATATGCTTCTATTTCGGATGTTGACCCTGAACACAAGTATGTTTCGGAATGACAAAAAGTGAGTCTCGTAAGTTATAGTGCTAAACGCTTCTTTTAATTCTTTTTTCTGAAGCAAGTTTACCTTCTGGCATACGAGTCTCATGCAGGCTGTTAAAACCTTTTGAATGTTTTTCGGCAGTTTAGTGTGCCCGTAGATCGTTCGCACCTCCTCCGCTTCGAAGACTGACTTAGAGAGGCCGTCCCCTGCCCACCTGTATTGCCTGGAAAGAGTAGAGGCTCTGGCCAAAGGACTGCCTCTTGCCGGAGTACTCCAGGGCACACTCCAGGGCCGCCTGACCGATCCCCAGGGCCTGGCCGGCAATGCCAATGCGTCCGGAGTCCAGCACGCTCTGCAACGAGGGTGCTGCCCCTGACGGTCTATGATGGAAGACGGAATGCGCGACCAAACACGACGGCAAGGAGAAAAACTGGACTGAACGCGGCCTTTCTTAAGTTTATAAAGGGAAGCCCCCGTGGTTCTCTGAGCTGCCCAAACTTAACACATTTTCAGAATACCCACGCTTTACTCCTCCTGGTGTGCTATTTATTGCCTCAAAATTTTAAATAGCTATCAAGAAAACATCAAATGAACGTTATGCAAAAAGAAAAAAAAAGCTTAAATTCTCCCGTGCTTTCAGTAAAACAACGTTGCACGTTGCCCAACTTGCAAGTCGAGCGGGCAATTTAAAATACACTATGATTTGCAAATTTTTTCTTGTTCCACCAATGTGAGTTTATAATTGCCTTTCCTTTCCTGCCGTCGAACTTCTCATAACTTGTTGGAAACAAGCTGCACTGCCCCCCTATTATAACATCTGACGTCATGCTTTCGGCACTGCCACTGAAGCCTCTCGGCATCTTAGACTACTAAATAGTGGTGTGCAACTCGTACAAAGGAGCGAATTATAGACTGAAAAACATGGTGCGCGTCCTATCCAGGCGCTCAAGTACCATGGCGATCTTGAAGCCCATGCCCTCGTCCCCGAGCCGGTACTCCTTCGGGATGAGGCAGTCTTCGAAGATGAGGTAGGACGTGGACGAGGCCCGGATCCCCAGCTTCTCCTCCTTCTTGCCCAGGGTCAGCCCCTGGGTCGGCATCGGAACCAGGAAGGCCGAGATGCCCTTGTGCTTCTTGGACTTGTCCACTGTCGCCATCACCTGTTGGGCGACCACAGCTCCCGTCACGCCTTCATCTTGGAACTCACTCTCATTTGTGCTCGTCGAAAAAATTTCTGCAGCTTCTTTGTTGTTTTGAGCGTCGGATACGGGAAACTTACCGGAGATTGTCGGACACCGTCCAACAAACGACGGGAAAGCACGGGGCCAAAGTTTGCGAAGGAGGCAAAATAGACAACACGCAGTCCTTGGTAGCCCGACGACAGAGGCGGTGACCCACTACTGTTGGTGACGGGTTAAGAATGCAGTAGATGCTCTGCCTTCAACGCGAGCTTTCTGCCTTCGATAACACTTCATTGCATGTGCAGCCAAAGGCTGGTGGAAGGCGACGAGCGCACAACGAAGGCGGAGGACGATTGGGGAGAAGCCACAGTGCAAGAATTTGGGTTCTGGCTAAATGGTTATGCTGACATGTGAGCTCCTAACAGGGTATACTATTACTATAATATATGGTTCTCATTAGAGACATTGGTGTTTCAAGCTATAAGGAATATTCTAGTGTGCAAATATTCGAATTTTCAAATAGTAGTTTAGAATAATACGCTTTTTTGTATTTGCTTCAAGATGAACTGCAATATTCATATTTTTCAAAATGTTGATTTGGCAAGTTAGCCCAATTAAAAAGACACTGAACATAGGAGAAAAACGCTTTTTTCCTACCTGGTTGGGTCAGGCAAACCTCAAAAGAAATGTTAGTCAAAAATTTTTTTTTTCTTTGCCCAATAGTTATGCCACAATAGGAATTTTTCGGTTTACGGGCAAAACCGAAACTGTTATTAATCCTTATTCTTTGATATGTGCCTTTCCTAAAGTTTTCGAGATTCTTATGTTTGCCCGAATGTCTCACTACTTCCGGCACAGACTAAGTGATACCCAGCATAGTTTCCTAAAGGTTTGTTCGGTGGAAACAAACCTGTGTTCGTTCCTTTACTATTCTGTGCCGTTTGTCCTAAATCGCGATCAATTTGACACTTGGACATGTCGAAGGTGTCGACAGAGTAAACCACAAGTTGCTTCTGCATACTATGGTGTTTCACCTGCACTCACCGGGTGGTTTCAGTGTTATCTTACCGAGCGTAAAAACAGAGTTTTTCTGATGTCTTTGTTCCTTTGTCGGTGTCCCTCAGGGGTCTAGCCTGGGACCAATATTGTTCCTTATTTTTATTAATGATATCAAATTGCGCGTGAAGAATTCTTGGTTGTTGCTATTTGCCGATGACTTGAAGCTATCTTTTAATGTTTGGTCCCTCAATGACTGCGCACCTTTACAAGACAATGTGTCATGCACGCTTCAGTGGTGCTCGGCAAATGTTTCGTTAACCAATCCCGATAAAACCTAAGTGCTATCAATGTGCAGAAACAGGGAGTCGATTTTAAATACCCACGTTCTTGGTTTTCACTACCATTTTGCGTGTGTCTATGGTTTGCAATCTTGGCGCTTTTTTTGATAATCGCCTTTCTTTTCCCTACCATGTCTCTCAAATTGTTGCATAAGGTGTAATATTGCGGGGCTTCATTTGTCGTTTGACCAAAGACATTTTTAATTCATGGTGCACTATTCGCTTATTTTGCAGTCTAATTCATTCTCGGCTTGAGTTTGCGAGTGTTGTGTGGAATTCTATCACGGCAACCAATGCATTGCAAATTGCAAAAATTCAGAAGAGGTTTATTCGAATCGTTTATGATTGTTATTTTAGACAAAGGTGTTTTTATGACTATGCATACATAGTCAAGACTCTCGGCTTACCTTGCTTTTCACTTCCTAATCATATTGTTTTCTTATATACGTGTTGTTCACATTGTACAGACGTATGTGCCCCACATCAAGACTTCAGTCGTTCTGGGGCATGGAATATTAAAGTATGTATGTATGTACCCTTAAGGGATGATGATGATAGCATTTGTACAGAACTAGTGTGCGCTTGGAGGTCCAGCAAAATCAAAGCAGACACTACTTGGGTACAAATGCTATCATCATCATCCCCTAGAGGTACAGTTTCGGTTTCGCCCGCAAATCGAAAAATTCGTATTGTAACCTACATTGGGCGAAAATATTTTTTAATTTTTTTTTTTTTCAATGAGTATTTGTTTTGAAATTTGCCTGTCCTGACTAGGTAGGAAAAATCTTTTTCCCCTAGGTTTAGTGTTTTATTTTAAAGGCTTCTTACTGTACAATGGTGCACTGCGGGGCAACAACACCCGCGAAGCTCACTTCCGCGGGTGTGTCGTTTCTGCAGTACACCGGTGCTTGTCAAGAAATACACTCAACAGGGCTTAACCTGCCGCGACCAACACTTTGAAAAGTACAAATATTGCAGCCGTGTGCTTAGGAGGAAAGCTCATTTTCAAAGTGGGATGGTGCACATGCATGCCTGGTGTATTTATTAAAAAGAAACGGAACCTTCGTGAATGTTAATATCTACATTGCAGCAAACTTTTCACAATAAAATTGGCATGCACGAATAAATGTTAAGAAGAGATGCCCTGACAACTTCTGTTAATCATACGTGAATGAACAAAACATATCTGCATAGAAAGTGCAATTCACTTATAACGATACCACATATGACGATGTACTGCTCTTTCTATTCTCTATAACGAAACTCTAGGAACTGATCAGTTTCCAGAGTTTCTAGAATAGAAACGATCAGTTTCATGTCCAGATACAATGACGATCGGTTATAACGATCGATTTTTCGGGTTTTATTCTCATTATCGTTACAGGTGGATTGCACTGTAGCAAGAATATTTATAAACCCCCTTGATTAGGAATAGCTGGGCATCTCTACAGGTTTAACATTATGTCAAATGTCTCATTTATTTGCCATCCCAATGTAAGCATTAGACTTTTGAAGGCCACAGTCAATAAATATACTAGTTAGATTAAAATTAACTTAGCTTAGAAATAAATAAGTGGAAGCTTGGCAACAACTTCCAGAAGTTCAGCTGGGTTTTCGTTTAAGCATGCTGCAAGAGTGAAAGACTTAGAGAAACTATTCGATATTCGATTCGAAAATATTCGGTCAAGACCACCTTTCGCTTCAAACTCAAAATCCGCTATTAGCACATGACCAGCATATACACTTTAAGTTTCACAAACAATGTCTGATGAAAACAAAAAATTGAGTGACATCCAGATGGTATGCAAAACAATTTGTTGTGAAAAGGAAACCAGTTTAAAGAAAAGCTTTTCCAATATAACACAGTTATCAATCACAGTGGTTCAGCTAGGGTGTTCGGGCAACGTTACTAACAGCAAAAACAAAATAGATGCAGACTGGCCTCATGCCTGAAAACGTACCAGCTGCTTTCTACCTCCAATGCTTACTGTGCTATAACTGTTGTTGCCCTGCAATAGGTATTTCTCTTCCTAGCTGTTTTCTCCCAGCACTGATTTCTGGTAGCTCCTGGCCAACGTCACTCATGTGCCGTTTTATTAAAGAAAGTTTAGTTCATATGATTGCAAGCATAAACCAGTCTCTTTCCGGGCAGAGAGGGTTCCATACCACGGCAGCCTCTCCCTCGTGAGCCGAAGTAATCCAAGCTTTGGTTCCATTGATCCGGTAGTGGTCTCCTTCCAGTACCGCTGTCGTGGAGGCTGCTCCAGCGTCACTACCGTTCCCTGGAAGTGGCACGAGTGCAGGCAGTTCACCTCAGTTTCAAACAGGACTAGAACGAGTGACCACAACAGCACAACCACCAAACCTAAAGATGCCCTCCAGGCGGTTCTTTCTTCGTCCCGTGCTGTCCTGTTCAAAGTGACATTTGCATGTTTCTCCCACAGCGATGTCTACGCCATTGAAATGAACATGAGTCACGAGAAGCTGTAATCCCAATAAGCTCGCGTTTTTCTGGGCAAGTGTGTTGAAAATCCCCCAAAAATGAATAAAACCTGCATTCTGTGGGTTCTACACTTTATAGTTGTAACTCAGACATGAAAAAAATAATGATCCAATTATACTCGAGAAAACCAATTCCATTTAAAAAATCGGGTGCCTGGATTTCAGCTTCTGAAAAATTTGGTCCCTGGATCAGCATTTTTTAAACAATGAGTATTACTTAAAAGCTAAATAAGTTTCTGTTAGATAGATAGCTTTAGAGCATGTCATGTCTGAAGCCATCAACAACATGGTCGAAGTTACTAAGTTTTGAGTACTATGTACAATCTTATTTGAGGTTAAGGGAAAATTCAACACTGCATTGCTAATACACGAAAGATGGGCAAATAAAGCAGAAGAGAACAAATATACACTAAAAAATAACTATTAACATAACTTCCAGTCATACATCAAAACAAATAGAAGTTTAACAATAACTTAAATCACTCGAGAAACTGTCTGGAAATCCATTACAAATGTTCTAAACCCGACAAATAGCTTGACGAGTGCCAACAAGCAGCAAGACAACTTTTTAATGAAAAACTGACAGTGTTGATAAGGTTCATTTACACACGAAAGAAGAAACAGATAGAACAGAGCACAGAACACAACATCTTTCATCTAGCAACGATTAAGAATGAAAAAGACCGACCTCCTTTACCAAAGGTGTCAACAAATCTTGCAAGAGAGGGGAAAAGATTGGTGAAGGAAAGGGAAATGCCAGAAAGAAAGCGAGAATAAAATAAAATAAAATAATTCTGTTTGGATAATGAGATTACAAGCTTAAAAAAAAACTAGCATCAAGATAACCAATACTCATTTTTTAAACTTTGAAAGAGCTTAATGTAAAATCACAGGAACTCTTTTGGGTGTTCAATGCCCAAACTACATGATCGTTATCCGACTACTCTGCCGCCTCTTGGAGATATTCGATACCTGTGTTAACAAAAATTTTTGTTAACACAGGTTACAATTTGGGAAGCAACAGGACAGCACCTGGTTTGCCTATTGTGGTTTGGATCTAAGAACAATGAAGAATGATGCGGGCAGTTAGGTAGAGGCAAACTTCACAATCAGTGAGCACATGGGGCATACGAGGCTGTCGCTGAAACGTACCAGGCTCTGAGAGGGCAAAGCAGCCAACCCTCTCCCCAGTGGTGAATGGACGAATAAACTTCTCCTTCTGTGCTTCGGAGCCATACTTAAGGACGGCACCCAGGAACAGGGACTGCAGAGAACCAACCACACCAAGGATAAAGAAGCGAGAAGAACTGCTAAACAGGCAATGACACCACCAAAGAATAATTCTTCTTTTCACGCTGAACACTAGATTATGAGGTCAAGACACCGCCGAGCAAGCTTTTTGCTGCGGTGTCACGTCTCAGATTGACAACTATTAACAAGTTCACACCGAAGCCACAGACTCACCGCGAGGTACTGTGGGGAGTCACTTCTCACGACAATGTGCTCAGGGTTTCTTTAAGTCAATGCATTTTTGGTGCTTAAGCTTGTTATAAAGATTACACTTCATCACACTTTGTCAGTGAACATTATGCCTTTGGGTCTGTTCCAACATACACCACAGTGCTATTAGTGACCTTGTTGCCCTGACTTTGTATTAATTAGTGATACAGTGCTGGCTTGTCGCCACATCAGTGTTAAGTTATGTTCAAGTCAGCGCTGCAGTAGTGCTGCAATGTATCCGAGAACCGGCCTTAAGATGCCGACAACCTCAAAACTATTTTCTGCAGTGTTTTGTCACTACACGCGACCATGGAGAAGGGAGAAAAGGCCTGGACGTTGGATTCTCGAGCGGTGATTTCTGTGCACAAAAAAGCCGGATTTCAGGTCGCAAATATTTTTTGCCGCATAGGCAGGCCCCAATTAATTGTGTTTCGGTAAAAATATTACCAAGCACAAATGCTATCCGTTAGTGTTTCCTTAAAACCAGCCACAAGTAACTCGGGCCAGTGCCACACCATACTTTTTTATGTTTGTCGACCTGAGGCTCGTAAAGATCCTTAAGGTACCCAACGATAACTTCTCGTTAGTATCAAAGCAGACATACTGCCGCAGCTGGTGCTCAAATAAGTCCATTTGTGCTTCGGTTGGATGATTTCTTTGGGATTAACAGTGTTCCGTAAAATCTGGTCAGTCTTTACGAAGTGCTTTCTACGCTGCGTCATTATGTGCTACATTTAACCTCGATCGGTGCGCCGGCTCGTTTTATAAATTTAGGCATACAGGCATTACTCAAAGCGTCTCTTTCTGCACCAATCGTTTGCAAGACGCATTGTACATGCAGGCATTTCCTGAACTCAACCTTGGTATCTGAGGTTCAATTACATTTTATGTGCCATACCCGCAATAATCTGACAAAAAAGTCTGCAGCATTTAAAGTATTGCCAGCCGCATGTTGACCCACTAATCGCCACGTGCGGAATGGCATCTCACGACCAGCTTTTCGAAAGCTCTCAATGACACGATTGTGGCGCAGCTGGCACAAGCGACGCAAGAAGCCGGTGGAGTGCGTAGAGAGTGGCAGGTGCCAACGCAAATAGGGCCATTTCCCCCTTCCCTCTATTATGTCAACGTTTCCCCATTCCGCATTTGCCATCCCGCCCCACCGATGCCGCGTCGGGAATGCACACAACGTACGAGTTGCGTTTCGTCTAAGCACCATCCTTCACTGACGAATAAGCCCGGAGAAGAGGGCCACTCACATTGTTGACGCTCATGACGACCCCAGTAGAGGCGCATCCGCGGCTGATCTCCTCCATGCCGATGGCATATGCCAGATAGTCGAGTCCCGCGCCTCCGAGCTCCGTCGGCACGGCCACCGCCATCAGCCCCATCTCGCCGAGCCTGCGGATCTGGGGGAAAGTGCGAGGCAAATCGGCGTGGGCCGCGAATCGACGACGCTAAGTCCCGTCACCCGATCCGACGGGTTCACCCAAAGTCGTCCAACCGCCACCTTTATATTATTTTGTCCTCTCGGTCTCGACTGGGTTTTCGTTGTGAGATTGTGGCACAACTACCGTAAAATCCCGAGCGAGCGCCAACTCAAAATCTGGAGGCAATCGTGTAAAACTGGGGGATGGGCGCTCCTTACATCAAGAGTGCGTAAAGATATGTCTTTCGCACATTTTTCGAATGTTACAAAACTGAGGGGTGGGCGCTCATTGGGGCATGGGCGGATGCTCGGTATTTTACAGTTTAAGAATTCAGGAGATGCCCCGACTCTAGGGCGAGCATTCTGCCTTTGAGAATGCTTCGTTGCATACACAGCCAAAGCCCAGCGGAGGGCAACGAGCACGTGCTGGATGCAGAGCTTCTTCCGAATTATTAGCCTGTCACACACTACAGTCGAGCCCAGTTATATCACACCCGGGTATTTCGAATTATTGTTTATATTAAACAGTCCAAACACCCCTTGAAAATCCCATGTAATAGTATAGGAGCGTTGTTTTTCTGTATCGAAATCCCATAATGGGGACACTCGATATAGCGAATGAAGCACCGCTGCCAGTCACCAGTCACCGCTGCCAGTCGCTTCTCCCGCGGCTGGATTGCTGGATTGCACTGGGGTTGAGCACATAGCTTGCGTTGCAGGGCTGGCAGACCACCAAGCCACCATACGTGCACGGGGATACGCAGCAAAAGAGAAGTTGTAAAAAAAAAAAAGAAAAAGTGGAGGATGGCAAAAACAGGGGGAAGGACACGCACACGAACGTCGGGAGGGCAGGGATTGCTTGCTGTTGGAATGGTAGCGGGCGCTCTTTGTCCGAACACCGTTGTTGCTGCACTGCAGAGGGAAAAAAGTGCATTTTTAAACAGCCTAATTGGGACAAGCATGTCACAAAACAATTTTTCCGCCAAAAACAATATTTTTTACAGCAATACTTATTGCGCAAGACTGATTTTAGTTATCGGCTATTTCGTCCGTTTTAAATCGCGCGCCACAAAGTTGGTATTACATGTCACGTTGTGGCTGCAATATGTCACGGAGTGACATATAACAGCCACTCCGCGTGTGTCGAAAGAGCGAGAGTTTCAAATGTGGAGAAGTTGTGACTCCGACTAAATTACGTCCTGTGGTGTAAATATTGCTAGCAAAAATTTATTTTTTCGCGGAAGATTTGTTTTGTGACATGCTTGTCCCATTTAGGCTGTTTAAAAATACTTTTTTACCTTTGCAGTTACACTTTAACGAAAAAATAACATAGGCAAAAGAAAAAAAGTTTTTCCTAAAGGGATTGTTTGGTCTAAACCGGAAGTAATTAAGTTTTTGCGCTCGTTAGGTCTAGGGAGCCTTCATATAGACCAGGGGTGACCAAGCTGCGGCTCGCGAGCCGCTTGCGGCTTTTCGCGTGTTAAGGTGGGGCTCGCGGCTTCCTTCCCTACCCCCCCCTCTCCCGCCTCCATCCCAATCACACGAGCACTTCCCCAAAAAGAGAAATGAAATGCGTTTCAAATCGAAAGACAAGTTACGATTTGGTAGTCTTGTGCTACTGCTACCTTACGCACAGTTGTACTGCTTCTGACTCAGATAGATTGAAACTAGTTAGAGTTTCATTTATTGCTCTGGACAAAGCACAAATGGGAACAGCAGTGACTGCAATCCCATGCTTAGACAGTTCTCTGTCGTGACCCAGAAATACGGCATCGCTGGCTCGAGTCCTCAACAGACGTCGACGATGGTGTTTTAAGTTTGTTAATTATCATAACCTAGGAAGGAGACCGGTGTGGCCTCTCTTGAGAATCGCTGACTCAGTGTAGTACGGGAGCTTATGTGAATTGTCCCGGATGTATCATTGTTGCGATCATATCCAATCAGAAAGACAAAGTTCTAACTAATTATGGATCCTCCTGGTTTTTTACGCGATATTTGCTACAACCTCGGGGCAGTAAACAGGAGGCCCCTCAGCCGGCTGTTGGTCAGCATGGCTCGTGGACAGAAAGGGCAGCCTTGGGCATGCCTTATCACGAAACAATTGGACACGAACACTGCATCGGGGTTCGTCAAGGCAACCGGAGATTCGCGCTTGGAATCGGATCCAATGATCGCATTCATGGGCCTTCTCGAAGTTGCGGAACTTCCGCATGAGATGGTGCCACCTGTTGGACCGAGCGTCACTGCCCAGTATATGTACAGCAATAAGTAAGGTACAGTCGGCACAGAATGAAACGCGAACAGTGGGTGCATGGTTTTCGCTAGATGCTGCACCACCTGAACCAGATGGGAGCTGCAAGAAGATGGCTCCTCCTTCGACGTGTTAGACTCTTGCTAAGTGCATCCAAACCTTCGGTGTTGCATCTCTAGGTGACTCAGCTTTGGTCGAAAACCATGCGCTCCTTGTTCGCGTTTCATTCCGTGCCGACTGTACACAGTAATGAGATCGTAAATCCAGATAAATCCAAACTGATGAAAAATTTTACAGGTGAGTCTTCTTTAGTTTTCCATTTTTATTCAATTTTAACTAAAAATGTGGACCCCTTACAAGGGTATCAGATGAGTGTATCGAGACTGCAAAACAAGGTTACGAAGACAAAATAAACATACAGTACAAACAGAGAAACACACATACTTTCTGTTCCAACTAAAAACAGCGTTTAATTTTCACGAGCCGACAGCTCGGCCAGATGTCAAAAGAAGGAGAGGAAAGAAGAGAAGGATGTTTTTCACTTTCCCTCCTTCAACAGCTGGACTGGGATCCCATCAAGATTTTTTTTTTTTATTAAATGTTGCCAGTCGCAATAAGAGCATGTGTTGTCCCATTTGTCCTGTACATCACATCCATTCTATCTTTGTGCCTTCACTTTAAACGAGACAGTAAAAAAAAATGCTCGCTATAAAGAAAAAAACTAATGTAAAGGTAAGAGAATGAAAGAAAAAATAGTAACAGAAGGAAGCGTAGAATGCAGCCCTACAACCGCCAAAGAACTTGAAGTTTCAAAACGAGCTCTCCAATGAAGCAACGAGTGCCAACTTCCGTGTAAAGTTTACAATTGCTAGAGCCTCCAGAGAACATCATTAACACCCCCCAAAGCATTAACAGTAAAACCGGTTCTGGTAGCTGTTTGTCCACTTGTTTAACATTTTGTTCACTCCCATATTTGTGATAGTCCTCAAAGAACGTTCCTGCGAACAAGCTACAGTCATGTTTCGTTGATATGAATGCCTCCGTTCCCAAAAAGAGTCATCCATAGAGTGAGCCATTCATAACGACGAATCAGGCCCAAACACAAACTGAGAAGTGGAGAGGGGAGTTCCTTTCTTCTTTCTTCTCCAACCCAAGCAGTTGGAGAAGAGGGGAAGAATGAACTCCTTCCTCTCTTCCTTTTGGAGATTCGTGTTGTCCTGCCCTTCCGCTTCCCTACTCTCCAGGGTTAAAAAGTGTCGGCAGGAACTCCCCTCATATCCGGACCCTTTTTTGCGTGTACCAGACGTTGCTTTGGCACCCCAAAGCATTTCCCGTCTGCCAAGTTCCGGCGAAACGGCATTTGGGAGAAATGAGCTTTGTGGGTCCCACAAGCTTCTCTCCCGTTTCCCTAACAGTGACAACGTCCACAGTGAGGTGACTTAGCTGCTGTAGAGTTCATCCTTCTTTGTTCCCGGCTGTACGTCGTACACGATCTCGAGCAACAATAGACTGCGAGCAGTAACGACCCCTTTTACGTAAAAGGCAAGACAAAAACACCTTTCGTGCCCAGCTCTTATCGCAAAACCGGGTGCACTGTGACCTCTTGGGTTTACTGCTATCTCAAGAAACTTTTTGGACCTTCTCTTTCTTTTTTTAACTGGGGCACTGGCATCTATATTAATAATACAAGAATGCCTGTATTTACCCAGTTTGTCTCCGAAATAGCTGTACATGGTCCGGACAGCGGGTTTCCATATTAATGGGGCAAAACTACACGGTGAAAGATCAGTCGCTGAAAATTTCGTCCGTATTAGCGGGGTTCCGCGTTAACGAGACGAGACTGTACTAGGTCTATGCTCGATCTGCCGAGTTATTCACAGAAACAACCTGCGCATTTGACATGTTCCAACCCTCTTCAGGGCAGAGAGTGGCTACTATCTTGCGGCAAATGTCGCGAAAACTCAACTAATTAAAATGCTCTAGCGCTCCTGCACCGCCAGTGCAAAAATCAAACGCAGCTTTGAACTTGAGTACCAATATCACCCGTAAAAGACGAGGATTGAGCATTTGTCGTCTTTAGTAAACCCCTGACTTGCCCCAAGTGAAAACCGCACTGAATCTTGATGAGAGCACGTGGCAAAGCAGCAGACTGGTACTTCGGCTTCGACAAGCTCTATGTGCTAGTTTTGAAACACTGCCATACCACAAAGTGATTATAATGTATGCTAGAGGTTCAACTGGCGCTTAGTGTCCTGTCGCAAATTGAAGCAGACAGCAACCAGTCGAAAATTGACTTCTGGTAATGCCTTTCTATGGGGAAAAATGAAAGCATTTTCTCCCTGCATTCTATTATGGGAGCAAATATCCCAATAATTCGTACGTACTAGGTAGCTTTGAATATTTCTCAGTCAGGCAGACGAAATTATTGGTCAGTTATGTCATTTTTCTCTCAGATTCATTGCATTAGAAACAGTGCTAAAACGGCTTCGTGCATGCATTTATGTGCACTGTCGCACGCTGTTAGCGCGAACACAACGTCGGCGCTTTTCAGCATGGGAGATATGCGTTCCAAACAAACGAAGGACACCTGGAAAACGAAGAGAGTTGACAAGAACTATGTAGTAACACTGGATCAGTAATTCCCAGTGCATGTACAGTCAAAATAATTTGAAGGCCACATAAAATAGTCCAATTTTCATTAAGTAAGTACTGCTTTATTCCTTCTGCACTGTGTGAAGATGCTTCTTCTACATTCAAAACATCACTTGCATGCTCGAAATCTTTGAGAACAGGTGCCCGATAAAAGCTGTTTGGCATGCACAGAAAATAATAAAAAGAGACACCTTTCATAGCCCATATACTTCATTCTTTACATTTTGAATGCTTTTAAAGGGGTTATGAAACAATATCGCGTTGGAATGTTCATGACTTTGCAGAGGTGTGGCTGGTGCTAGCTTGGTCCAAGTATACTGGCACAGACCACCACCGATTCGGAAGCTTGTTTTGTCACGGTCAAATTGCGAGGATAAAAGGGGACGATTTCTTTCAATTTTGCCTTTGCAAAGCTTGATGACGTAATTGTGGGATAAAAACCACCCGCCCAAGAGAACTGCATGAGAACTCGACTTTGGCTCGTAACGATCAATGCCTCGGCGGACACTCAGGTAGTGGGTTGTGCCCAACCACTGCGGTGATAAGAATAGCCGAACACTAACAAAGCCTGGAGCTCAGCAAATGTTTTCTACTTTGCCAACCCCGGCTCATGGCTATGATTAATGTTGGCAACATAGGGCAGGCCCCGGGTCACGTGGCCGCTTGTTCTGGCTCCGAGATGAGGGGATGAAAGATGCTCACATTTCTCTTATTTTTCTAGGCGACTGCCATTGCCTAGAAAGAAGAGCTGAGGCAAGTTTATGCAGTTATTAATGTTAGAGAGCGATTCCAAGTAGTATTTAGTGAAAGTAGAAACATTGTTTCATGGCTCTTTTAACCACTTGTAAATATGCAAGATGGGTTCATTTTCATATAGTGACAGTCCTTGCATATTAGCAATACATAAGCATCACAGGAATGCCGGCGAGTCTTGAACATACTCTACATTCCTTTCGATAGTTATTTTTCTGAGAATCGGCGCTTGTTTTTACATACCAGCGAAGTTTAACATTGTTCACTGGTAAAGAAAAATGCTGTAACTAAAGCAATTACACATTTACAATGCTTATAAAGGTAAATACTATTTGGTACAACCCAAATAACAAAAGTGCTTCATGTTATTTTCTGGCAAAGAGACAAAATGTATGTGCGTTTTCCCATAGGAATGCACAGGAGCACAGCAAAAGTAGACTGGTTGCTGTCTGCTTAAATTTTCCTCCCGGAAGTCGCATAGACACTAGCACCAGTTGAACCTCTAGCATACTTTATAACAACTCTATAACTCTATGTGCCAGAAGCACTCTTCGGTGACACAGATGTGAGCTAGGTGATGCTTTATGGATCCAATAGCGATGACAACGAAGAAGCCAAGTAAAGGGCCTTGCCTTCTCGGCGGTATTGGTCGTACAACACCTGCCAGGCTGATCTGCGACCGAGTCGGCCCACTAACACTGATTCAAACGTTCTTACGAGACATTCAGACAGTCAGACGCTCCACCTATAGTCACTCAAAGGGAGACTCATTTGAAGACAGGGCCCATCTCAAATCACGGGCAGCGTTTGCAATTTAGTGGCTGACGCCTCCTGCGCCGATTGATTGCAAGTGCGCGGGTGCCGCATTGTTGGGTGGCAAAGAGAAAAGCGGCTGGAAAGGTCGAGGCGTTTGCAGACGATCGACGCTTTCGTCGCCTCCTTGCAGCTCGTGGTGAAAACGCGGCCAGTGAACCACATGACCCCGATCGAGCAGGTGAGAACTCTCCGTAACCTAGGCTCCCTAATCACGTGTATTTAAAGGGTACCACTACCTGTACTTAGTTATACTCTTACGCTGACAGTGCAGTGGAGGCTACACGTGCTCGTTGGACCAGTGGCGTCTATCTTTCGTCGTGTTATCGTGCTCTCGCCATATACATGTACAAAGAGCGGGGCGAGGTGACGAAAGAAAGGCGGTCGATTGGCTTGGCAAGTACGAAGGCCCCACTCTGCCGCAAGCTTAAAAAGCTAGTGCAGCAATATTAATGTTTAAAGAATTTGCAGCTCACATTTTTTATCTCGTTTATCTTGGCACAAGTGAAAGAAAATGTGCCACCTCTTACTGAAATACTGAAAGAACACATTTTTTTCCCGATCTGTAGTTGAGCGTGGCGGTCGTTGGAACTGCGGCGCGACGTCATTTGGGGTGCACAGGTTTTTGTGGCACCATCCGTCGGAAGTCAACATAATCATTTCCTTTCCCTCACTACCCTCTCCATCTCTTTCGTGGCGAACCGTCTTTTGTCTCAATCGCTCGCCATGACCTTCAACGATGCATTCGGGTGCGGTACTCAGCCGAATCGCATCTTGGAAAGTCAACAATCGTGGAAGGAAGGCTAGGGCCCCGAAGGTAGAACCAAATGCGGTAATCTGAGCGACGTCACAGTGTGCCTCAATCACGAGACTGTACAAGGAGGGGGGGGTACCCCAACCTTCAATTTGTTTAATTTGTCTTCTAAAAGTTAGAGCACACAAAAAAAAAATTGATTTTTTTATTTTATAGGTAACATAAAACGATTCTCAGATTAATTGGCCCAAGTCGGAAAATCGTTGCACTGGTTTAGTCACCTGCTCTCGAGGGTACCGATGCTCCCGGTCCAGTGTGCCTGCAATGGGCTTGAGCTCCTTCTCGGCAAACTCCCGGCAGGTCTTCTGCAGCATCTCGTGCGTGTCTGGCAGGCGGGCATACAGGGTCCGAACACACTGCCATCTTGTCCGAATGGGCCCTGCACAGAAGTCACACAACGCTCCCGTCATGCCCGTCGACGGGGGATCAGTATCTGAGTGGATCACTGCGCCGCAGTTCGGATCGTGCGGAGCGAAAGCTCGCGCTGCAGAACCCAGGCATCCCTGGTTCAATCCCTACCCTCACCCGTTTTGATCTCAACGAGCATCGTACCGGCATATGATTGGGTACCACTACTGTGAGATGCGGTGCGTCGAAGACTCCAGGCTAGTGGCGATACTGCACCGGCTAAATTTTTCACCTAGGACGTAAGCCGGCGTCGCCACACCTCAAAGGCAGACCGACCCTATATGTATAAATAAAAATGTCAATTTTTTTTCGTCGATTTGTTTTTGTTTTTCTTGACAGAACTCGGGTGTCTTCATGTGCGCTTTGCTTAGGGCGATGACATCTAACCATTTTGTTCCGAACACTTATTTTTATTTTTTGTTTCAAACCACGTGAAGAGCACACTCGTGGTGCCAAATGTGCTATGGCGACAAATAAAATGCTTAGATGGGCCAGTTGGTACATCATGGGATATAATTCAGTTGAGAGTGCACCCTGTGTCATTGTTATTCTACTCTTCGTCCATGTTCCTTCAGCACTTATTTCCCATGACTAAGGCGACATTTTGTTTTCCGTAATTTCTTTGTATTTTTTCTGCGAGTGCATGCTGTCGGCATTGGGTACTTTAAATGATGGCATCACTCTAAACACAAGGACACTGGGGCACCCTCAAGACGACCATGGAACTTTTCCAAGAAGAGTTCTGCTCATGTGCAAGCCCTCCTCACCCAGCAGAGGAAGCTCGAGTTATGATCGGTGGTCGGAAGCTTAAGTGGCGGAAGCTCTGTGGGGAGGTGTCTGTATATTTTCTGCAACCTCCGCGACTGATGTGATGCTGTTGTGCTCGAAATGAGCGCCATGTAGCTATACATTGTAACGTCACTTTGTGCAAACCAATCTCCTCGAAAAGAAACACTCTTTTTACTTAAAAGTGGTATTTTTGTGATCAAAGAAATTAGTGTAGGCAAGAACGAGCAGTTGGCATGCAGCTCGGTGTTCTTTCCGTGGAGCTCGACAGTGGTGCAAGCCGCTGCCCAGCAGACCAATATCACTAAGTGTTCCACACATGTGTGAAACAGCCAAGACTTTAGTTTACAAGAAGCAGGGGGCAGTGCACGAGCCAGCTCATATTTTCTCGTGTTCTACACGTGCAGAGCTTCAGACAGGTTGCCGCACGTGCAGAAAGACTAAACTTCTCTCGATGCATTGCAGCAGCAGTGGCGTAACGGAACTGGCTGGTGGGATTGGTCTATTAGAAATTAGATTGTATACATCCATTCATTTATCCGATCCCACTGAATGATACACCGTGTCACTAGTTGCGTGCAATACAAGCAAAGGCAACGCTAGGCGAGGGGACAAGGGGCAAGCATTATGAAGGCTAGGGAGGAGGAGAGAAACCTCTTCTCCTATTTAACATTCCTAGTGCTCTCCCTTTCTCATTCATTCATGTCATTTATCACCTTAAGGGCACGTGAAGGGCATTACATAAAGGGGGGGGGGGGGGGGGGGTATTCAAGATTTATACAATACAGAAAATGCAAATACATAAAAAACACAAAAGGAAACTAAAAAAAACTTAACACACTTAACACCACTCAGGACTGCTCATAATTACACAAACCATAAAACTAGTAATAAGAAAAATGAAGTTTAATACAAGATAGAGAATTATTCGGGTCCAGAGTGGTGACAATGGATGATGGGAGGTTATTTCAGTCGATAATGGCTTGAGGAAGGAATGATAGATTAAATGTGTTCGTAAAGCCTGAAATATGTTTGATGGCACGTGTGTTGTCAAGGCACGATGATGTTCGGTGGGGGGTGATAGCAACTAATTTTTAAGGTCTGGAATGTGGTAGTAGATTTTATGAGGGCAAAGCTGAGAGACTTTCCTGCGGAGCTGCAAAGAGGACATTGTTAGTTGGCTTTTTAAGGCGGAAACACTGAGTGGAGGAGCATAGGTAGACAAGATGAATCGGGCAGCCCGGTTTTGAATGTAAATTTGATGGGGATTCCAGATGGTAGCGGCATATTCTAATTTAGGTCCGACGTATGTGTCATACGCCAGGAGGTGCAGATCGCAGGCTACGTCTTATTAGTCCAAGGGTTCCCCACTCACCACTCGCTCTCCATTGTCCCCCTCTCCCATCCTGCCTTTCTAGTGCTCGTCCTTTCTCTCTTCACCTGGCATTGCTTTCACCTGCACCGCACACAACTAGTGACACGGAGGATATTTTATGGGCCTGCCACTTGGTGCTGTCTTTATGTGGAAATCGATAAACGGTGAAAAAGTAATTCCAGCTTGCAAGATTATCTTTACCGAAGTTCAGACTTCGGTAGACTTAGTGCTCAGCTTTCGACTCTATCCTCAGAAGTGCGGTATGAGCTCTGCTGCCCTCCACCCAGTGTTGTACGGAACGGCGTTCTAAGGAACGGCGTTCCTGGAACGCGTTCCTTTTAGGAGTAACGAAGGAACGCCGCCGTTCCATTTTGCATCGCTGGAACTGGAACGGGAACGCGTTACATTTTTACTGGAACGGAAAGAGTAACGGCGTTCCTTTTTTTCGTCCAGTGGGGTCATTTTTATTTTATTTCTAACAGGGAAACTATGAAAGTACAAAAACAATATCTTTACGAAGTGCAGGATCTCGTTAACTTTTTGGCTACTAATCTTACAAATTATTTTGTGTGGTCCTCGCTCGCTAACAGTTAAGGGTGCAGGACAGCTGGTGAGCATTGATTCTTTTTTGAGTGCCCGAAACTGCGTTACAAAACGCAAAACTTTTAGTAGTAGGAAAAGAAAAAGAAGGAGGGTTGTTTTCAACTCAGTTACTTTCTTTGGTTCCACGAATTCTTCTACACCCAGAAATCGTATTCCGACTAAAGCAATTCCTGAAGTTCAATAACGAGACCTACAATTACAAGATCACAGATTGCCAGTTATCGGACTTACCCTTGTATCCCGAACATTGGTTACTTAAAAGATAAACAAAAAATAACCTTTATTCCTTCTCTTGTCCCCCACCTTCAAACTGAACAGCAAATCCAATTTTCACAATGAAGTATTTGTAGCTTTCAAGACTGACTTTCCAAAAGCCCTACCCTCTCCTTTACTTGCTTGTCTTGCGAACAGCAACATCGAGAAGCAACTGTTAAGTTCTAACAGGGGAGTCTGTTAAATTGAAACGTGTGAGGTTGTTGTAAAACGCTCGTGCAATCTTGGGTAAAAGTACATTTGGCTCGTCTGAATTGTCCACTACAGACATGGATATGGTTAATAGCTGAGATTTTTAACATGGATATATCAACTAATGAAACCCTGCTACCGCGTGTTTTCTTCTCCGGGTGCCCTTCCATCGCGACATACAAACTCGTATGTTGACTATTAACGGGATAGATAAAAAAATAAGAAAACTCTGCTTGATTTAACTAAATATGGTAATTAGCAAAAAATACAAATGTAACGTATATGTAACGATACGCTCCATTTTTTTAAACTGTAACGGGAACGAGTTCCTTTCTCACAGATGGAACTTGTAACGGGAACGCGTCCCAAAAATCAGAAGGAACGAGGAACGAGCTTTCGTTCCTTTTTTTGAGGAACGTGTACAACACTGCCTCCACCGCAGTGAAATAGCTAGAACAAACCAAGTTATGATGAATCTGGTCCTACAGGGCTGCGAAAATGTACACAGTGAACTTTCATTTCTTTCTACGGTATAGGACGATAACATTTTTTTTTTCCTCGATATTTTAAGATGACGTAGCAACGGTTTACTATGTATCGCGAGTAAAGCTATACGCACTCCGGAGTGCGCTTCGGACGGAAATGGCTATACGCACTCCGCTTCTCTCGTATAAAGAGTCGACACAACGTGTTTTCTAAGCGGTGCCATGGCATAGGGGTTAGGGTGTCCGCTTCACACGCAAGTGGACGCGGGTTCGATCCGCGGTGGGCTTACTCTTTTTTCTTTTTTTTTTCTCCAACATTTTGTTTTGTCGAGGCATTTGGCGATATTTACGACATTTCCTTTTTTTACAATAAACAGTAAAAAAAAAAAAAAAAAAAAAAAAATCGAATGTTGTCGAGAAACTTCGCAGAACTAAATGGTATCGGACTCCCTTTCCGGAGGTGCGATCGGGGACAGCGGGGCTTGGATTGCCGGCTGGACGCCGCGAAGCGGCGTGTACTGGTTACGCTTTGTAATTAGCAGCCGATACTGTCGCCGCGAAGCGGCGTGAACGCAGGCGGGGGGCTGTGTTAACGAGCGCCCCAGTGATTCACGCGCCGTTCGAATTGGTGGCCCGAGCGGCATGATCTCTCGGAGGAGTGCGTATAGCCATTTCCGCGCGAAGCGCACTCCGGAGTGCGTATAGCTTTACTCATGTATCGCACAAACGTGCTTTGCATGTTTAGCCAACGCCATGTCACACATTAAATGCGAGCAAAACGTAAAAAGCGAACAGTTAACGACAAGAATTCCCCATTTTTATCGGCGCCGTTCCTAGATCGTTGTTGACGTCTCTTCCGCATGCTATCTGCGTAAAGTGCACTTCTCCGGCGTAGTCCGCGTCAAACTTACCAGATCGGCGTTTTAGGGCCGTGGCAATGACCCTATGCATCAGGGTCGTCGACATAGTGACAGTACCTTACGCGAAAACGCCCGAACACTGTGGAAACAACTCGATAGCAAAAAGTTTAGCTTCGCGTTCAGAAATCTGCGTCGAGTACGAGCAGAAGAGGTCGAGTAACCGGCGGTTTTCACAACGTTGGTCTTCTCCGCATGACATGACTTGATTGACTGGATTACAATAAATATGCAAATTCATAAGCTAAGTGAACATTAATATTTGATTACCGCTATAAAATATTCACACAAAAATATTTAATTAAAAGCCCTACAGAAATTAAACCATTAATCTCTATGTCTATCTGTCATAGAGATGCGGCTCTGGTAACATTCCATTTAGCGCTCTGGGCGGCACCATTTTGTTCGACAGCAGGAAGTTCAGCGCACAGTAGGGATGCCGCGAACTTTTTTCGAACCGAAGTTTCGACTATCGATTCAAGCAATTCAAAAGCTTCGAAAGATTTCGAATTTTCGAAAATTCAACAGAAGTCGAATTTTCCGACTTGTTAAACTAAGAAGTTCGACGCTTTTCAAACCATCAAACTTATGACGCTAAAAAAAGTCGATCCCCTTCGAACTTTCGACCTAATTACGCTACAAAATTCGATGCTTGTCGAACTTTCGAATTTGATAGACCAACAAATCGATATTTTTCGAACTTTCGACCTTTTTGCACTAAAAAGTTCGAAGTTTTTCGAACTTACGAATTTTCTACGCTAAGCAATTCCATAATTTTCGCACTTTCGAACTTATTTATCAAGAGAATTCTAAAAGTTTCGAACTTTCGAATCCTAGAATGTCAAACGTTCGACGAACTTCGCACTTTTAGGGTAAAAGTTCGACGTTCGTCGAACTTCGAAAGACCGGCGGACGGTTTCATTTGAATTCAAGTAGTGAGGTACATTCGTAATTTTTTTTTCTCGAATTTTTCCATGCGGTGCTGCGTTCCTTACGAAAGACAATGCCGTTTATTGCAATGCTCTGGCATGCTTAGTTTTAAAATAATGAATTCCCGAAGGGGCGAAAAAGGACGACGGTTTTTTGACGATTGTCGTTTGTGCCATATTTGAAGCGCGCTTCAGTGGAAGATATTTATGGTAGAGATGTTAAACCTTTTAAGATTGATCCATGTATAGCTTTGGTAGGTGTCGTCTTAAGATGTGATTATTGTTATTCAAGATAAGTTTTGAAGAAATGTCCAAACATGTATCTACGGGTAATTAAGCCCTAAACTTGTTTTTTTTTTTTTTTTTTCGTCTAAGCTGCAGAATACAAAATAATGTATTTATTGTTTTTGCACGTTAAGGAATGAATTAACTCATGGGAGAAGATATCTAATATTGTTCAACTTCAGCACGTCATTAAAAAATAAACATTTGTTTTTTCGCTTCACGTTCTTGGGACGTGTTTCTTTTAGCCATAGAGATCAGTGCTTTTAGCCCACTGATCTCAATGACAATTGCTGGATCGCGCTTGCCGCTCCCGCAAATGAAGCCACCGGACGCAACCCCGCTGGGATACGATTTCCCGTTTTGCTAGCCTTTTGCTGCGGTTTTCCAGCGTGCTGTAGACACGTTTTCTACTCGTTCGTCGTCATTCGCCGAGGAAGTTTTTTGAGACTCTGTGTATTGTCGAGACTTGCCGTCGTGAACACGTCGAAAATTTTACGAAAGCGCAGTGTCGCAGGAAAAAGGCACAACTCGTCGAAAGCAAGGGTCTGGCGACGTGTTCCAAGCTTCCTTGGCACGCCAAAGACGCTTTGACTAGCAGACGTAAAGCAGACGACGTTAACTGCGCCAACCCGCCGACGCCGTTAAAGAGTGAGGAGTCTCGCCGCACACGAAAGGATGGAAAAAGTATTTGGGAGGGAACTTGCGGACACTAACCACCCTCACTCTCGGTTCTTAGCAAACAGACCTCGGCGCCTCGGGACACCTCGCCAGTGAGTCCTTTGACTTCCCTCCTTGATGCGCGTCTGCTAGTTGTTAGATAAAAACAACTTACCGCTCGAGTTATTTCGTACTGCCCTCTCTGAAAGGCGAAGCGAGCTCGCTCGTAAAGACCTGCACTTCCGAAAGTCGCAGGTAAGATAAGACAGACGCAGACGACGTTGCGAGCAGACGACGTTGTTGTTGTTGTAAGCGTTGAAATGAAAGGAGCAGACGACGCTCAGATAGGGGGTCGCGATCAGCCAATCAGGGCTCGGCGTTCTGACGTCACTGCTACTTCCTTTCTCATGCGCAGAAGACGAAAATGAGCCCACTTGCAAACTCTCGCTCGTGGCTGCCGTTGTGAAGTAGTTCGCGTTGTTAGAATAGTCGTGGCTACTCCAAAATCAGCCTATAGCTCTCTGTTGTTCGATTTCAGTAAATGATCAACTAGCATATCTTTTTTCCGTTACTTAAATAGCAGTTAAGTCAGCCGGCAGTACTACCCTCAACTACTGCGTGTATTGCGGCAGGAGAGCATGTTTTTACTTATTATTTCAGACCTCCACTCATGGTCGCTAAAGGCCTACAAGTACGAACTTTGCATAGTAAAAGAGTTACAGCAACCGGATTTACTTTTCGCCGGAGAGACCGGCCAATCTGACACAGTTTTCCCTTTCTTTTTTTCTTTTTTTTTTTTTTGCACGCAGGTAACAGCGCGATTGGACCCTGTTAAGCTTAGTTCACATGCAGCGGTTTTGGCCCTAGAGCGGCGCGATTTCTGCCGTCGCGGCGCTCTGGCCAGCACCAGCAATTCAGTGGCACGAGCGCCGCGACGGCAGAAATCGCGCCACTCAGGGCCAAAACCGCTGCATGTGAACTAGGCTTTAGTCTTTTTATCTACAGGGTGAAACAAGGAGACGCCAGGCTCTTTAAATCGACCGGAAAATTCGGTTTCTTAACCTATCGTGCTACGACGTTTTGCAGCGTTGCCCACAGATGGTGCATTTCTCTTTTGTAAAATTTGCGAAGAGCGAACTTACCTGAGGAAAAAGTAAAGAAAGAAAAAGGCTTAGCTCCTATGGAAACGCAGCGACGCCACCGGTTTGCAAACAACACGGCGCCGTTTCGCACGGGAGGCAAGAGATGGCGCAAGCGGTCGCGACGCCAACTGCCGCCAACGAACGAGCAGACGACGCCGAGAGCCGGCCCTTTTGAAGCCAAGGAACTGCAGTTCCTTGCTGTTACCGCGCCTGTCTTTTTTGTTTCTGCGACTGTCGCCGCCTGCGGAACGCGCGCCGCTTTTGAGTCGAAAAGATCGTCTGCTAAAAAGGCCTGCACTCGGCGCCGTATGCTCGTTCGTTGGTGTAAAGCCCCTTGATGAAGGCCTTTTTTACAAGTACCGCCAACCATTGTTGTGGAAACGCGCGAGACACGTGCCGCGAGCGCGTGCTCCGCCGCCATTCGCTTCCAAGGGCCGCTCATTTCAGTGCTGCACCGCCATTTGCTTCCAAGGGCCGCTCGAGGCATGGGCCTCGTGCACTCGCGCATTTGACGCTACTTGCAAGACACGTAAACACATCGAGGGGCTTTACGTTGGTGGCGTTTGTTGCGCCATCTCTTGTCTCCCGTGCGAAACGGCGCCGTGTTATCTGCAGACCGGTGGCGTCGCTGCGGGAAAAAAGACGACAAAGTGATCTGAGCCGGAACGCAAAAGCTTCTATCTCTGGAATTTGCTATTCTACGCGACTTCGTCGGTCCCTTGGACTTTGGGGGTCTACTCGGACGGCAGGAGCTAGGGCAGCTAGCTCCCTGCACAGCAAGAAAAGGGATGCATGCTGGTATGTCTCTTTCCGAAAACGACATATCCATCACGGCAGCACAACACCAGGCCAGCAGCGCACTCGATGAATCCCAGGACTGCAGTCGATCTGTCTGCTCAGAGACCGCCAACATGGAGAGCGAAGATTCCGGAGGCGAATGGCGCAGATCCGGCAGAAAGCGCTGTCGTCCAAAGAACAGCGACTCGTCTCCAGACGTTCCGCAACAACCAAAGAAGCAAGATAACACCAGCCTCACTGTCATCTTCGTTCCTGTGAATGAAGAGACTAGACTTACAGCGCTCAACAGCCTGAAAATTTCCGAAGCCCTTGAGAAGCTCTGCCAAGAGTGCATCATCCAAGTGCGCCCCAACGATCGGCTGAACCTGATCGCTGTTGATGTTCGCAACGGGCAGGCAGCGAAAACTCTACTGAACACTGCAATACTCTGCGGTGTTCCAGTAAGAACCTACTCCCCACTGTCAGGGCCCATTTCGTACGGTGTCATCCAAGGCGTCGACGTTGAAATCACAGAAGACGATATTGCGCGCAATCTTCGCGCTGAAGACGCATGCTGCAAGATTGCCAACGTTCGGAGACTTGGACGCTCCCGCGTCGTGAAGGTCGCCTTCTCCAGCACTAAGCTGCCAAGCTACGTGCTTCTAGGGCACGTTCGCTATCCAGTCTCACCGTTCACAGACAGACCGTTACAATGTCACAATTGTAACGGATTTGGCCATAAGAAAATCGCCTGCCAACGTCCGAAGGCCTGCTGCCGTTGTGGGCAACACCATGACGGGACGGGTGCTGAATGTCAGTCCACGACAGTGAAATGCGCCAACTGCAGTGGAAAGCACCAAGCCACATCACATGACTGTCCAAAATGGATTAAAGAGCGTGACATTATAGTGTACTCAAAGAAGAATTCAGTGGGATTCCGCGAAGCGAAGTCAGCCTTAGATCCCCAAAAGAGACAAAAAACTGGCACCGCTGAGATCATAATGCAAGACGAATCAGAGCCAACGATCTCTAATGCAGGCGCCAAAAGCTACGCTTCTGTCGTAGCTGAGGACTGCCAGAAAAAAACCGTTATCAACAAAGTACCACCGAATGATGTCCCAAGTGATGAAAGGCCAACGTCGTCCACGCAGCAACCTTCCTCGCAGGCGCCTCCAAGGCGTCAGGCAACAAAACGAAGCACTGAAAGGAAAGAAAGCGACGAGACTTCAGGCTTACCCATCGCAACAACACCCGCCTGGGTCTCCATTATCAAGACAGTTGTAAACATATCCCTGGCAATATTGTCTAAATTTGAAGCCTCGTGGGCCCGGGCAATTGTTACAATTTTGCAGGCAATGCTTCCCCTTCTGGGGGCATGCTAGGGGGACCAAGTAACTCAAATGCGCGACACCATGGGCAGAAGACCCTGAACAGACAAAGAGCTCCAATATCTCGCCAAAAGAATAGCACTCGTCAACAAAGGCGCAGTCCATTGTTTCCTTCCATTCTTCAATGGAACGTAAATGGGCTGCGCACGCGCCTACCAGGGATGCGCG